GGTTCAGCATCTGCAGCAGAGCAACATACTTACTGATGGTCTTGTGGTGATAGGACTGATCATTCCGTGCCGACTTGGCAATGGCAAAAGAAATGGCGCTGAGGTCACTGAAACTGCACTGCGTCATCACGGCCTCTACCCGTGAGATAATGGCACTGTCGAGCTGCGGGCAGGGCAGCATGGACAGGACACGAGTCAACATGGTCACCTCATAGGGGAAGATGCTGTGCTGCAAAAAGCTGTGAGATAAAGTGTAATCAGTCTAGATTTTATTCAGTAAAAGTGTGAAGCAATAAACAGCTCCTTAGCTCAAATGAACACTTACTTGACCAAAATTTTTCTTAGCTGAGAGAAGAGTTCAGGGTTCCGATAGTGCAACACAAAAAGGCTTTGAGTGATTCTGGCCAGTTCCATTGGCTTGTAGATGTTGAGGTTCCTGTGGATCACCGATCCGATTCTAGAAAATAATTTAGTATTAATAAATACATTTTATATAATATTTCATAGACGTTTGTGTTTTTAAAACACCCGTTAACAGTATGTTGGCAGAGTTTTGTTTTTCCACATAAACACATTACAAAACTATGATAATGATCCCTTAAATTTAGTTTTTAAAAGAATAACGAACAAGATATAACCTGAGTGAGAGATGTTACAGTTGAAATATAAGGTGGGGGGGGGGGAAACTTGTTTTTTGCAGTGGATACACTGTTAATAAATCAATCAACCTTGGGGTGAGATTTTTGTCAACTGATGTTTCCCAGGTCTACCTCAAAAAAATTTCTGACATTTCAGTGCTGCAACTTCATGTTTCTTTTTCAGCTGAAATATATGGAAATACAAATATTTTAGCTGTATGTTGATACTGGCTGATATCTTAGCTCCACTTCTAAAGCTATGCAGGTGCCATCTGTCAGAGATATGAACTCACTTGTTCACTAAGCTGAGGTTTCTGCTGCGAATCTCGTCTAGTGCTTCAGCTACAGCCAGCGCCTGGTGTGCACTGAGCTCATCAGCCAACAGGAGAGCAGTGTTCTCTAACCTAAGAAGAATGAAACCACAAGAAAAACCACTAAGCCTCACGGTAAAGGGTTAGATTTCCACTCATATACATCACTACACTAATAATGATACAAACCTTTCCCTGATCTCCAGGCTGGCCATGGGGGCCAGAGCCACAAACAGTTTAGTGAAGGAAAGAGGACGAGTGCATGAATCCATCAGTTCTGTCAACCTTTGTTTAGCAGCCAGCCTGAATTCACAGTTGTTGAACTGCAGGGCCTCATATAGACCCATGATGATGCTGATATTTCCTGCATCCATCCTAGGAATGTTGTACAAAAGTATCTGGTTGCATTTATCCAGTATAGGCCGGTAGTTGTACTTGATGGCCCGCAGGAACTGCACCACTCTACGAGGGTTGTTGTAGTGCAAGGGGTCCATGGTGTCCAGGAGATGATCTACCCTGCTAATGAGGGCATCCCGCAGCTTGGGAGACACCAGGGACGACACACTTACCATCAGTGAAGTTAGGACCCTGTGGGAAAAAATGACCAGTACACAATATGAGTTCCTTATGTTTAAAAGTATTTGACCATATCTGTTTCATGACTAACCTGGCATTATCAATAGATGACAACCTCTGATCCACTATACTGGTGATGTGGCCCATCAGACGACTGTGTTGAAGAAACTGGTCACTTAAACAGATGGCAAACTTAGATAGGCATTCCATTTCAAGTCTGCAAAAATGCACATTTGAGTAACATCACATTAGTGTTAACATAAGATGAATAATTTGTGACTCAGTTAACAGAAAAGTTAATAATAATTTTGATACAAATGTATCTTTTCAGTAATTTATGAAACAAAAATGCTACACATCTGCTGCTTCTCTCTGTTTTGATTCATTTCAATATTTTTTGGTTGGTGCAATAATACAGTTGAAAATTGTTCAAATTATAGGTCATATTTTTCTTTGTTGGTATTTTATTGATTAATTATTATTTGATTGAAAATAATCCAGATTAATCAATAAAAAAATTATAGTTGCAGACCTCTAACTCTTTGCCTTAAACAAAACTGATCAAAAAAAAACAACACACAATCATACCTGTCCAGTCTTAGCCATGCTTCTGAAATCAACTGCTGAACAAGAGAGTCATGCGGATCCACATTCAACCTACAAGGGGGACAATAATACCGTTAGTTGATATTACAATTTTATAATTCAAATACATGTTCTTTAAAGTGTCTATATCTTGATGTACCTGAGGAAACTGTAAAGCATGTCCACCAAAATGACATCATCCATAAGAGCAATTTTGTTTTCTGCCAAAACCCGGAGAGTCAAGAACTGTGGATGATTCTTGGTAAACGCTACGGTCCTGAGCCGGTCAGGTCTGTCTTTCTGAAACTGCCACAGCATCTCCACAGCACAGCTGACATGGTTCACTGCGAGCTTGGCCTTGTTCTTGTCCACCACATCAAACACCTGGTCTTCAACAGAACAAACTTGCAGTTGCTCCAGAACCTGGTCTCGGTTCACTGTAGCCCCGTGAAGGAGTCTACGAAGGCAGGGATTAACAAACCTGAGCCGAAACATAATCGTAGCCCTGGGCTCAGATTAAGTATAAACTGAAACGTTCATTGCATTCAGCCTGCCGATATCAGATGCGCAAAATTACAGTCTCCAAGTGCCAGGTGTTAGGTGCTCCTTTTGGGGCCTCTGTCAACTAAAGAAAAAAATACACAAACACAAATTCTTTTAACTTATTTCCCAATTTCTTATATTGCAAAGTGAACATAGCTCAGGGTGACATACTGACCTCGGATTCAGAGGATTTCATCTCTCATTCAGAAACTTCATATGACTTTGCTTTGGTGTGTCACTACGCTTAAGTGTGCTGCTAGTAGCGAAATTCGTATGCAGTACTCACGTGGATGGAGAAACAATCACAATATTTGGCTTACAAACTCTGAATACTCCTGCTAGCTGAATTATTAGCTAGAGTTGTGCAGATTATAGAGATTCAAACGTTATATATCAGACAAAAATAGAATACGATCATTAAAATACCTCATTCAAAGTCAAAATAACCTAGCAATGTATTATGGTGTAACACTTCCGTAGCCAGTGACACTTCGAATTTTGAAACCCTGGGTTTTGTCTTTCAGGCAGCAACGCGTGCATGCTGGAGAGGTTGAGGTATGTGCGGGCAGAGCAGTCGGTGGTGATTGGTTAAATATTTGCATCTTCACACTTCAAGTATTAGCATACAAGCACCATGTGTAAACACACAGCAGACTGCATGTGTGAGAGAGCAGCACCCCCTCCATCCTTTAAACAGAGAAGGTCCGCGTTAACTCGCAAGGCTAGTCCTGAGACAGTTCCAGGTTTTAAGTGGTGTGTAGCTAAAAACATTCTCACAGACTTCTAGTAACATGTCGTGACTTAAACATAAGAACATATTATGGCTAAGGCTACAGTTATACACGTCATAATAATAATATTAAACACCCTGTCTGCTGACAGTCATCAACTCTTCTCTCTAGTTATCCTTGACCAGATGTACCCTGTAGAAACTCATAAGCATGCCTAAGCATTTAACAGTCTAACTAGACATCCTATCTCCACTAAACATTTCTAATACATAAAGTATCTATCCAATTTCTATCTGACTAAAAATACCTAACAACATCTATGGAGGACAGTAATAGGCCTAGTTGCGTCTACACTGTCTTGGATTAAAGAAGAAGAAGAACCCCGAGCTTGTGCTTGGTAATTTTTAAGTACAGGGAAATACGTACTGTACTACTCCTTAGGTTCCCAAAGTAGAAATGCAGCATAATAAGTAAGTTAGCCTGAGAGAAAGTTGTACCTGACAGGTTAATTTCAGGAAAGACAATCTCTTAGGCAGTCCGCGGCTACGTGCCCCGCTGCGTAAACTGGCGCACGAGCCTCGAATGACGTTCATGCCGCGCCATCTTTAGAAAACAGTGAGTTTAACACTGAATGAAACTTAATTTTCGTCGTTTGTGAGAACTGATCCCTCTATGGAGTAATATCCTTGGTTTTCCAGGTAATGTGATTTTACATCATACACGTATAGCGACATGTGCATATATTTAATGTATCGAAATTGTATGGCTATGTAGAAGGATCGCTTTAGTTACATGTTGCCCGAGGCTAGGTGAGCTTGCTAATGCTAACACCAGGCCTGACATTGGATACTATAAGTGACTGTGTGCCTATGTAAAACCACAACGATATAATCCAGATCGGTGTGTGTGACACTTAATGGTCAAGTTAAGAGAGAGAGAGAAAAAATGTTGGTAGTTATCTAACATAGTGTGTGCCAAAACCAACGACCGTTAGCTAACCAAATTTTGCTATGCTCGTTAGCTAGCTAGCTAGCTAGCTGGCTGTCGTCGCGGGGTTAACGGTGTCCGAAACGTTTCTGTTATTTGTTTGATATGTTGTAAATAAACAACAGTGATTTACAATAAATGCCATAATTTATTATTATTATTAATCACATGTTTTGGCACATTAGCATTTAAGGAAATTGTTCACCTGGTCAGATGCGTTAGGTGCGCAAGATTAGCATCTCATTTCGCCTGTTAAGTTACTTTCGACTTCCAAGTTAGTAACAGCTAAGTTGTTGCTCATGTTTGTCCTGTCTGGATTTCTCATCTTCAGTTGTTTGGTCAATAGAGGTGATCATGGGGATCAAGGTTCAGCGCCCTAGGTGTTTCCTTGACATTGGGATCGGTAATGTACTAGGTAAGAAAGAAACGTCATCTCTCGATATTTTATGATACAATACAGCACGACAAACTGCAAGTCCAAGTGTTTGTCATATGCACAGTTAGGAAACGTGTTTCCCTGTACAATGAAATTCTTACTTTGCCGTTCACATGAATGCCACAAAATACAAATGAAATATAAAGTAGATAAATAAGTAACACAAAATCTAAGGCACTTTAAGCAGCAAATGCAGCAGTATAATAAAAATATATAAGAATATAATAAGAGAATGTATGCTGAATGGGAGCAGTCAACAGTCAATGTGCAATTATGCATGTGCAAACTGAGAATGTTTCCTATGAATAATGAAGTTTCCTAAATTACCATAGGGTGAAGCAACGTAACAGTAACAAATCTACCAAAGTGAAGACCACTTAGAGCTTGTGAAATACAGTAAACTGCATTAGTTTTGGCTTATACTTAATTAAATGATAACTGACTGTAGTGTCATATGACAGTAAAAACAAAAGTAAATAATTTTGACCCCTGTCTCTTCACAGTCGGCAGAGTTGTGGTGGAATTGTTTTCAGACATTTGTCCCAAAACTTGTGAAAACTTCAGGTGTCTTTGTACAGGTAAATTATGAATTTTTTTTTTCTCAAGAATATGCCAGCAAAGGTTTGTCATGGCGCAGTTTAATACTGAAATGTACTGTTTCTTTCAGGTGAGAAGGGCATAGGTAAAGGCACCCAAAAACCTCTGCACTACAAAGGCTGTCTGTTCCATCGAATTGTGAAAGACTTTATGATTCAAGGAGGAGACTTCAGTGAAGGTGAGTTTAATAAAAGTTGAAGGCTGAATTTATTTCAATGTCCAGCAATCAATCAGTATACCTATATATGTCAAAAATCTTTTTCCTGAGTCACCTCCTTTTGTTTATGTCATATTTGTTCTTTGACATCATAGGTAATGGAAGAGGAGGTGAATCCATCTATGGAGGCTTTTTTGAAGGTAAAGAGGCCACTGTCAGAGCTGTCAGTTGTTGTCCAAACCAACATTGGCTTCAAGATGGAAGTACTGTGTTATCCTTTTCCCCCAGATGAAAGCTTTGCTGTTAAACACAACAAGGAATACCTGCTATCCATGGCCAACAGGGGCAAAGATACAAATGGATCACAGTTTTTCATGTAAGCACTGTGCCCATTGTTACAGATTATTGATTTGCTGTATTATTCATTCATTCATCTTTCCTAAGTCTTACAAATAATGATATACCTTTTTTCTTGAATAACCTGCTTTGACTCTTCAGAACAACAAAACCCTCACCACATCTGGATGGGTAAGTCCTGCTTGATTGCATCTGAAAGTCTAATGGATTGTGCGTTGTACACTGACAATGCATACAGTATGTTGCGTAGCTTTACTTAAAGCTCAAAGCCACTTTATTTTCTCAGTGTCCATGTAGTGTTTGGCCATGTGATCTCTGGCCAAGAGGTTGTTCAAACCATGGAGAACCAGAAAGCAGATCATAACAGTAGACCATACGCTGAGGTGAAAATTTTGAACTGTGGAGAGTTGGTCCCGAAATCTAAAGGTTTGTTTTTGCCAAACGTTTTCCAAATTATTTTCAAGATTTCACTTTTGTTTTTTCTCTGTAGTGCTACTGTTTTGCAAGATACAATTTTTAAAGCAGTGCTTGTAACACCTACATTTCTTTAGCAAAGAAAACTGATAAAAAAAGAGAGAGAGCCTCCTCCAGTTCCAGCAGTAGTGCCAGCAACACTGAGAGCTCCTCAGAATCCTCTTCCGACTCTGAAGAGTTGGAGAAAGAATCCAAGAAGCGGAAAAAGAAGGCAAAAAAGTTAAAAAAGAAACATAAGAAGGAGGACAAGAAAAGGTAGTCTATTTTCACTATCTGCAGTATAAACTGTACCTAGTGTCTTTATTCTGAGGTATCACTCTTTTTCTAGGTCAAAGGCTGAAAGTGTTGAAGTGAAAGAACAAGAAGAGTTGGTTACATCAACTGTACGCCCTGAAGAAATACCACCCGTCCCAGAGAACCGATTCCTCATGAGGAGAAGCCCTCAGGCAGTCCAGAAGTTAAAAGAGGAGGTGGAAAAAGATCAGAAAAATAAAGAAGAAAGGCCAAGAGAGAAGTTAGTGTTTGGCAAACCTTAATTTTATAATTTGTCTTCTTTTGTCATCTTAATTGCCATCATCAATTAATTTTCATGGCTGTTTTTCCTCCAGTACTGGCATAATGTATAATTCTCAGTCAACATATCACAGAAGACTGGTGATGACACGATCTGGGAGGAAGATAAAAGGCAGAGGTCCAAGGGTAGGTGCACTGCAACAATCTGTCTATCCATTAGCTATGCCATTCATTCTGTGGATGGTCAAAGGGGACTGAGACCGATCCCGCACTGCAGCAAGGAGAAGCTAAACGTTTTGTCTACTTTGTCACAGTTGATATGATATGGCAGTGACAACTCAAATTGAATTTCACCACTTAGAAACCATTTTTAATTTTTCTCTTGACCCATGTTAGTTCCAGAGTGTATAAAACAGAAGTGGTTTGTTGTTTCTCCCATCCAGAGATACCGGACTCCATCACGCTCTCGTTCAAGGTCCAGAGATCGTTTTCGACGCAGTGAAACTCCTCCGCATTGGCGTCAGGAACTGCAGCGTCAAAGGATGAGAGCGGTCACTGGAGAGCGCTGGATTAAAGGTGACAGGTAAGATACCCTCACTTTAACTTACTGAGCTTGTATTTAACATACTGTGTGGAGCTGGTCTGTTTCAGACTGTTGTGATGTAGGAAAAAAGGATGGAGAAGGAGGGAAATTAGTGTGTGCTTTGCCTGTCTCTAAACTGATAGTTCAGCTTTACACAAAGGTGGACATCTGGACAAAGTCTTGTCAGTGCAGGTATGTTGGCTTTATTATAAAAAAGTTTTAGGAAAGTATTTAATGTAAAGGACTACTGCTATCGCTGAGGTTTACTAAAAGTAGATGCACAACAGTTGTGCCTATGGTTAAGTAAAGAAGCCTAAAAACACCATGTTATTTAAATAAACCTGTAATGAACAATTTCTTGGAGGAATATAGTTGTGCTTAATAGGGAGTTGTCATTGTCTTCATAGGTCAGTTTCTATCAGCTTAACGGTTACCAGCTGATGATAATGGCAGTTAAGCTTGGCTTTTAAAATAGTACCCTTTTTATAGCAGGTTAAAAATACATACTGTAGTTCTACTGCTAGTATTATTGTGTGTACTTGATGTATATGCACATGTGTTTTGACAGTGCTCACAGCCCAGAACACAGTAACATACTTGCACATAGAAGTGAGGAAAAATAGACTTGGAGTTTGGAAAGACATTTTAGGTCATTGTGAAATGAAACCCCAGCAGGCATGGACAGCCACATCATTTAATGAAGAGATTTACCTGCTAGACCAGGCAGAATAGATTAGAATTCACGCGGATGGCCCTGTGGAGAAATTGGTGATGGACTCCACACTGCATTTTTAGAAACAATAAATGCAATTTACAAACATAAAACAGTACAACAGGCTGCATTTGAAGATTTTAAATGTGCTAGCCAGAAGTCTTTGTTCATTTAAATACAAACTAGCACATATGTACTCCTAGGGTGTCTTGTAGTGATGATATGTCTGACATAAACATTTCTGGGTATGAGCGAGATCCCGCTGCCTAAATTGTTCCCATATATAAAATGTGGGTGAACTGCAAAGACCACAGTGAAAAGTTTATATATTAAAGCTAATCAGCGCCATTAAACTGTGATCATATTGCTAGAACATCATTACATAACCAAAACTGTTTTGAAAGTTGTGGACACACATTGTAGCCTGATATCAGCTGTTATTTTCTGCCAGAAACATTTAATCTTCACTTTTTTTTTCTTTACAGAAGTGACATGAATGAGGCCAAGGATGAGGCTGCTAAAGCTCCGAGAAGAGAGAGACGGACCTCCGACACAAAGCATGAAATAACAGCTGAGGGTAAAAAAGACAAGAAAGCTCGGCCTCATAGATCTAAAAGCAAAGAAGAGGACACTGTAGAGAAGGATGAGAAGCATAGCAAACACAAGGCAAAGAAAAGAGAGAAATCTCAAAGTTGCAGTAGAAGCAGAGAAAAGAGTAGAAGGTCAAAAAGCAGAGAGAAAGGTCACAAGCACAAAGGTGATGACAGGAGAGGGCGCTCAAGGAGCAGAGACCAAGACGTTAATAAGAAAGAGAAGGAGTCAGAATCTGATCACAACAAAGATAGAAATAAGGGCCATGAGTCTGACAAAAAGCCTAAAGAGGACACAAAAGGAAGGGATGATGAGAGAACTAGGACAATCTCAAAAAGCAAGGAAAGAGCAACTACAAAAGATGGGCGCAGATCAAGTAGCAGAAACAGGGAGAGAGGTGGACCTGCAGCATCGAAGGACAAAGAAGAAAAACGAGAAAAAGACAGAGAGAGGGGCAGGGAACGTAGCAGGAGTCAGGAAAGGCGGCGAAACACTGAAAGGGAGAATAAGAGGCGAGGAACATCCAGGGATAAAGAACATAGAACAGGAAGTCCAGACAGAAATAAGACTAGAGACTCTCATAGAAGCAGGCGCACCAGAAGTAAGAGTAATAAGAGAGACCACAGCAAAGATCAGTCATCTCATAGAAAAGACAAAGACAGAGAAGTTGCCAACCTTAGGAGAAGATGTAGCAGCAGCTCTGAGAACAACAGAGGCGAGAGAAAGAGGAGTCAAAAGAGCCCAGATTCCAAAATAAGAGCAAATAGTACCTCCAAATCCAAAGACAGAAGAAGCCCAGCAAGGCCAAGGCCTGACAGTACAAAAGACAAAGACAGAAATAGCAGCAAAGTGAATAAATCCAGCTCCAGCTCTGACCGTGACTAAGCCCGTGCTGATATTGTAAAGCTGGGGGTAGCCAATCCCAGTCTTCGCTGGCCACTGCCCTGCTTGTTGTCCAACTATCCCTGCCCTACCTGCTGCTGATTACCTGGATCAGGCCTGTTCAGACAGTCAGAAGCTGGAAGATTCACTTTGTCTTTCCTCACTCCACCCTCATCTAAGATGGTATGTTAAATAGTTTGAAAACAAGCAGGGCAGCAGCCCTCGAAAATCGGATTTGACCACCCCTGTTCTAAAGGAACAGATTGGAATTTTTGTCCACTATACGTATATGTGCAGCACTGGTTTTCCATCTAGAGTGGGACCTACTTCCATCCCTCATTCAGTGCAAAAATCAGTCAAAGCCAACATGTCTCAACAAAAGTCATAACTGTGCAGTTACAGCAGAAGAAGAATGCTTGAACACAGAACACACCTGTAGTTGAGAAGTGAAAGACAGACACATGCAGACACTCATTATGAGTGGGCATTCAGACTAAGATCAAATTCAGACTGAAAATCGCAGCCCTCACAATTCATTTCTATGGGGGATTCAGTTCATCGCAGCCAGCACCGCAGGGGGCTCCGGCAAAATGACGCAACCCTGTGCGGCAAAAAAGTTGGGTCTGGTTCAACTTAAACTACACTGGATAGTGTGAGGGACAATCGGGACATGGACACCCACAGGAAGAAGACTTCTTTGTTTCCCTTTTAGTCTGAACATTCACTGCTATTTATTGTCGAATTTGGGCCACCGTTAACACACCATGACGATATGCCGTGCATTTTTGTTAGGACTGGATGTTAAACTGTGTGTTTTATCTGACAATGCCATCACACTGGTGATAGAATTGGTGCTAAGGTAGGGTAGGCTATGTTAGTAGCATTGCTAACCAAAACACAATGGTAACTCCAGGGCTGGAAATGTGAATGAAGCCACTCGTATCAACTTGTCACAACGTGGCCATATCATACATACCTACAACACTCCCCCTGCAACCCCTCAACCACTCCCTGTTCCATAAACACAAGGGGCTGCATTGGTTGAGGGGCTGGAGGGTTGCAGGGGGAGTGTTTTAGGCGTGTATGATACAGCTGTGTTGTGACGAGTCAATGTGAGTGGCTTCAGTCACATTTCCAGCCCAAGGGTTTTTGTTGTGTTTTGGTTAGCCATGCCGCTAATGTAGCCTACTCTATGTTAGCACCAATTTCTACCACCAGTATGTCAGCATTGATAGATAAAACACAGTTTAACAGTCAGTACCCCAACTAATGAAACCACATGGTGTATCATTATGGTGTTAAGTGTGGCCCAAATTTGAGAGGGAATAGCAGTGCTAACAAAAGAGTTTCCTGTGGGTGTCCACATTCCGCCTGTCCGCCATATGCAACTGGCCAATCCAGCACTTTTGCCAGTTGATGTCATTGTCCGGTACAGCAAAAGTTGAACCAGATCAACTTTTGCCAAAGCCCCCCTGCAGTGCTGGTTCCGGATGCAGCAACCCCCAAAAAAAAACCTGCAGTTACAAGCTTTGTAGCGTCATGCGACTATTGACTGGACTAGGCTGCATTTTGGCACTGCACGAGGACCAGCGATTTGTTCAATATTACTGATGGGTACCTGGAGCTGTATAGGTAGATTAGAGAAAAGGATTTGTGACTGAAAAAGAGTCACCTACACTGTGTACTGTTAGCAGGAAGTACCAGGTATTCTTTGAATTGACCTGAGGAAGTCAGTTTGAAAGCTTTTGTTTTTTTTTTTATTCTTTTAATTCTTCTGGTAAATTATGTTTTGGCTTCAACAGTAGCTCCAAAATTTGACAAAGGATTTTCTTGCCTTCCCCTGAGAACATTTTCTAGAGTTTGTTCTAATGTTCTTTTAATTCTGTTGTTTTTGGGATAAGGACTGCTTCTAAGTTTTTATTACATCAATTAGTCTGGAAGAAAACATCTTTTTTGCATGCTTTTCCCTGTCATTATTAAATTAAATGTATACATCCAATATTTTTTTGTACTTCTACAACCCTTTACTGTAAGCTGTTAACTGGTTTTTAGAGTCCTCTGGTTTATTTCTCTTGAAAGAAGGAACATCACTGTCATGCTGTAAGTAAAACATAAAATCATTTTGTATAAATTGTTTTGTGCAAGTTGGTTTTAAGAGGAACTTAAACTACAGAATGAATTAAAATGCCCAGTTTTCATCTTAATTTGTTTTTAATATTTGGTAAATGTGGTTCCAGTTCTAACACAAAACAGTATCAACAGTATATTTTGAAAACTCAAACATTATTAAAATTATAATGATAAACGGTGATTACATTATTACAGGAAATGTACACTGTGCTGTTAACATCATCATCCAGTGTTGGGTCAGTTAACTGCAGTGGTGGTGACTTGCTTGGTTCACAGTATACATTGCTATGTCATGAATTTCAAAGAGTTTTCTGTAATAGTCTCATTACTATCTTCATAAAGCAGGTGAGTTTTTTTCTTGAACATCACAGAAGTTTGTTGCAATGTTAGGATTGGGGCGTTTTCACTGCAACCTTCAAAGAATGTTGTTCAATGGGCACAAGAACATCCCTGCAAATGTTTTCGGTTCTAAATCATTCCTTATTTACTGAATAGTATGCAGCATAGTATGAAAATGTAAGCACTAAAACTCCATAGTGATTTTATACAGTATGTAGTGATCATCATAGTACAGCCCATCATCAGACTGTAACTTTGAACTCTAAAATACAAGTTTAAACTTCACAAACTGACAGCAAAATGTCTCTCTTGATATCAGTTACTTAACTACATATTGGTTCTGGAGCCATTTAACTACTACTACTAGGGAGAAAAGTATTCATCAACACCTCCAAAACCTTATTTAGCATGAATTCTTGATAATATATAATTTTGGCACCTTTCCAGCATGAACATGGTGAAAACCTGCCTAGAATAAGAATGAATTTGGGACACACCAGTGTTATCAATGACGTGGGCAGCTTTTTTTATATATACATATATATTTGGGAGTTTTTATGCCTTTGTCACTTAGATGACAGGAAACAAGGTAGAGAGAAATGACAACAGGTTCCTGACTGGACTCGAACCAGAGACGCTGTGGTTTGCAGCGACACCTAGGCCTCCACAATGCCTTTTTTTTCATGACTTTCTGCTAACAATCCACATGTCTTGTGTCTAGCGATAAAAATCAGGCGAGAGGCCACTCGTCAGTGATAGGCTAATGCAAAATGATTCATAGATGTCTGAAATTTCTAGTTGGCTATAGAGCAAACTTCTGAGTGTTTGAAATATACAGAGGGGTGAATAAGTATGTGTGGGAGTGATTTCAGACACTATAGCCTATTTTAAGAGTGTCATTAAAATATTCTGTGGAAAATTTAGGGGGTGATTCCTGGAACCAAAATTGCCAACAGAGAGCAAAGCTTCACCATGTAAACCCAAGTCTTCTTTTTGCTTCTTGGATATCTACAGCCTCATTAAGCTTTTTAATGTTCTGGGTAACACCAGAGACATAATTAGGCATCTGGGCACCACTGCGGTCCTGAACAAGGTAGCTTGGCCTGACTCCACCAAAAACAGGACCAAGCCCTCCTCCGATGCCTTCCCTCGCAGCCCTGTAAAGTGGAAAAACATTTCGCTGAGTCTCTACTGCCGTGTTGATGATGTGCTGGGAATACTGTTGAAACTGGTTTTCCTCTTCAGCAACCAGTTCTTTGTTTTTCGCCTCAAACCCAAGCTCCTCTCTTCTCAGCCGCTCCTGCCTGATGTTTTTTTCAGCCTGTATATGGCAGAAGTTAATTGTTTCATTCCTGAGAACAATTGTTGTAACTGCTACTGAGCTGAAATTGTTTCTTTTTAGTGATGACATGGAGAGCGTCAACATTACCATTTTTGTCATGTTGAAGTCTTGTAATTTTCTTTCTTCTTCTCTGATCTTCTGAGCCTTTATTTGTTGTTTCTCCAAAAATATTCTGTCGGCCTCTTTCTTGGCCTGAAACATGTCTCGGGAGTTCTGTTGCACTGTTTTATCTCCCTGCTCTTTCTCTTGTTTCTGATGAAAGACTTTGTGTTACTGGTGTGATAATTAATTAGCTGAAGTGGCAAAAACAGCAAACTGAATTTCACTGTAGTCATAAAATAAATGAAACATTTTTGGACCCATGAGCTAGGAATTTAATTTAAAGCTACAGTATATATCTTTTTATTTCAAATATTTCTGTTGTAGAATTATGCTTCAGCACTTGTCATAATGTGGAGAGGTGCTGTTGAAGCCTCCTGTGACCCAGACTCCTTGAACAGCAGTGCAGAGATATTAGCTTCTAAAGGGCTTTGAGCAGGATTGACCTCTCTAACCACTCAGAAATGCCACCTTAAGTTACATACTGTAGCTTTAAAGTACCAAGGAAGCATGTCAGAGGTTTCACGCTATAGAAACTTGACTTTCTGTAAGTGTTGTTACCATCAATTCTCTGTGTGCAGCGATCGACTTCAACATTGCAACCCTCTTCTCCTCCTCCTCCCATTGCTGTTGTGCCACTTTTGCATTCCGCTCAGCAACAGCTTTAGCAATCCTCTGCTCCTCACTGACAGTTTGCTCCTGCCGTGTGTCTGTCAGTTTGTTGACGATACGTTCTCTGCGCATCTGGGCCTCTCTGAGGAATAAAATAACTCATTTAACTGTGATAACCTTGGTCCCATTGTTATTTTTGAGACATCAACGTAGATGACTGGGTGTACAAGAGGCTGGATGAACAGAAGGCTGGTCCCGATGCACTTCATGATTTTTGTTATGCTTACCTAAACAACTCGGCTTCTTTGTCTTTCTTTAACTTCATCATTTTTTGTTTCACTGAGAGAAAATGTTTCCTCTGTTCCTCTTCAGTCTTCTGTTTTTGTGCATCTGCTGCTCTTATGAGGTCTCTATTGCTGAGATGTTCCTGTAAATACATAAAGGTAAATCTAAGTGTTATAAAATAAGGATCTAACACTATATAACCGAAGACCGTACCAGATGAGCTTGCATAAGGTTTCTCTTCTGCTCTGCTTGTTGTGCTTCCTCCATTCTTTGCTCCCACTGATAGAGCTCTTGAAGGCGCTGGATTTCCTCTCTGTCCTTCTTGTTCTCCATCTTCTGTTGCTCCCTCTCTAGCTCATGTTCCTTGATACTAAAAAGAAGGAGACATATTATGTGTTTTTACTAAAGCCGCCTTCTTAGGTTCTCTCAAGGTATCATACTTTAGTGTAGCAACATGACATACTGACATACTGGATATTCTCGTGGCTTTTTTACTATGCAGTAGACAAAATACAACAGCAATACTTATCTTTGCAATAGAGAGTGCCACTGTATGGTAAAACAGACACAGCTGCAGCCTAGTCTGGTGTGAGACTTACAGTTTTTTTAGATCCTCTGCAATAGCCTTTCTCCTGAGCTTTTCCTGCAGTTCTTTAGCTTGCTCCTGTCTCAGAGCTTCATCCTCTCTGGTTTTTACCATATCCATGAAGGCTCTGTCCACATCTTTAGAAGCACTCTTTATCCTTTCCTTCAGCTCAATCTGAGCCTCCCTCTCCTTTAGAACCTCTGTCAGTAAGAGTGCACGCTGTGGAAGTAGAAACGCCAATAATCAGTAGTAACGATCATTAATCCAACACATCGGTGTGTTGCCTGTTATGACCAAGTAATACAATGATGTTCAAGAGATACTAACATGTAATCCTTTGACTCGGTCAGTTTGATAAAATAGCTGAGTCTTGGCTTTTTCAATGGCCTCTTTCCGCTTTTCTTCCCGGTATTTGGCCTCCTCTATATCAGTTGCTTTCCTTTTCTCCTCCTCAATCTGCTCTCGAATCTTCTTTGCTTCTAACTTCTTTTGCCTTTGACCCTTTGGATATAAATGAACACATGCAGCAAGTTTGTTCTTTTACTGCAGTATATTGTGTAATCCTACCTGCTCATCTTCAAATAAAGCAAGTAAAATCTGACAAAAGCCCTGTACAGGCAACTTACAGCAATGGTGTTGGACCACAGTTTCACCACATCTTTTGACTGCACATGCAGAGCTTCTCTCTGTATCGCTGCCCCTTTTATTCTCTCTTTGTCTTTATTAACCCCGTTCATTTCATCTTGAATCCTTAACCATTCAGCCTTGGTTAAGACAGTGGTTTGGCGGAGATCAGGTGGCTGGATCATTCTACTGGCTTCCTCGGCTGAAGACGGTAAAAAAAGAAAAGAAAAAAAAAAGAAAGAGGATATTTACCCCAGGAAGACCTTTAGTAAATCTAACTCTGCATCCAAAACAATATCGGTGATGCACCATCAACTTGTGTAATTTTACTAGTTGAGGACTGTCCAGATATAAAATAAGGTTGTGTATTACATTATTTTCTGTAAAGTGTTATTTATTTTCTCTCTTTAGGTGTAAGAGTTGTGAGCCAAACGCTGGCTGGTGTTCATAGGAGCAGGGATGTGGCTGCTACTGACCACACGGAGATCCTCTGGATTGTTCCTGGAAACATAACTCAAGCAGTTTAGATCTGTAATTACACAACGGATTTGAATAGAACAGCAGATTTGTTATGTTAATTATGATCCTGCTCTTCTGGGATTTGGGATAAAGTGAGAATTTGCTTTTCAACATTATAAATTTGCATTTAACACTGACTCCCTCACTGAAGTGATATCTTTGTTTCTTTTTGTGAGTCTACCTGACATGAGATCAGTGTTGTAGCTGAATCACTAAATCTCGAGTCTGAGTCAAGTATCGAGCCCCTAAGGTTCAAGTCTGAGTCACCAAGAAATTGTCCGAAGCGAGTCCCCGTTAGCTGAGTCTGAATTAAATGTAACTGGCACAGCTCTCACCATTTTAAAAGGAATTTACTTACTGTATGTGACACTGTAGCCAAACAAATGTGCTTGGACGCACACACATTACCTAGAAGTGAAGAGTGTGGCTATCGGTGCCAATACCTTAGGCCAAATTATTGTGGCCCATTACAAAAAAAAGTCAGTTGGTGTCTCCAGCTTTCAAATCTGAATACAGTCAGTCAGTGCTCGAGTCAGTCATCAATGCCAAACTCCAAGGGGCATCACGAGACCTGAAAATCATGACTCGAGTCATACTTGATTCTGAGTTCTGGACTTGAGTACTACAACACTGCATTATATCAAATAGGTTAATGAATGATCATAAAGACAGTGCATGTACCTTCGCCAAGGTACAGCACTCGCTCATGGATGAGTCCTTTATGCCGGTTTACTGTTTACTTGCCCCTTGCATGGGGATATGTACATACAACCTTCAGGTTGGAAGACTACTGCTGCCCTAAGAAAGTCACTTTCGGATTTTTTCCGTTTAGGGGTCGCTACAGCAACCTGCAGCTACCTTTAAAAGGAAACAAATAACCTGCTCAGTAGGCTGTTTGTATATTCATATGGCAGTTTTTTAAAATGTACGTCAGTGCGACTATTCACATGTTGCCATTTGGCACGTGTTTTACGCCGTATGCCCTTCCCTGATTCGAAAACGGGCCGCAGCGGCGAGAGCGCTGCGCCTTAATCACTTGCCTACCAGGGATGACTAAAATATGACTTCTCCCCGTCGGGGAATCGAACCCCGGTCTTCCGCGTGACAGGCGGAGATACTGTCCACTATACTAACGAGGAGCCACAAACGTTTACTTATGATTAGAATATTCAGGGTTCTGTCCTCATTATGGGCCAAGTTATGGGAGAAGATATGCATTAAATAGGGGTTTCAATCTTAACTTTAAATGGCCGTAAAATCTGGATAACATTGGGTCTGGTGATAGACTTTGCTGCATCACATATGTGTGTTAAATTTCAGATGGGGCAAAATTAAAAAAATTACTAAGTTAAAGAAAGCGATTTCTGTGATTTTTATTTTTGTGACCTTGCCCTTTTTTCAATACATTAATGTATAACATTTTCTTAACGTATGTAAATCTTTAAATTCAGAATTATGTGTGAGGATTGCGGAGAAGGCTTTAAAACTGCATTTACAAGTGAACATTTGCAGTAAATTGGTGGAGTACAGCGGGCAAAATTTAAAACAATAAGAAAACATTGTCATTATTATTATTTTCTTTTGGGGGGCAAATGTTTCATAATAAGATTACAATGAAGATTTTGGACTCGGTATTTCTAAAATCCTAGATATTTTCTTGCATAGAGTATGTAGAAATATGCCCAAGTACATTTTAAAAAACTGCCATATGAATATATATACTGAGCAGGTTATTTGTTTCCTTTTAAAGGTAGCTGCAGGTTTGCTTTTAGACAAAGTTCTGCATGGATGCATACATGTTTTCATAGCCACTCTGACACTGACATGTATTTTTGCTTATGACTGTCATAGTTAATGTTGCGGGATTTCAAGACTGCTATATTGCCTGGAGCAGCTAGCCAGTGAGCTATAAACCAAAACTCTGTTTCTTTAGCTCTCACCACTTTTGCTGGATCCTGTCCGTCGGCGCTGAACCACCGCTGTCATTTGCATTAGATAAATCCGATAGTAATTAAACCGGTTTTATTGTAGCTAAATGTTTTTAGCTAATTAGCCAGGCTACAGTCAGTTGTCAGTCAGTCTGCGTTTGTTGCGTTGTATCCAGGCAACGGCTGAACCAATCGGTAGTCTTTCCGTTGACTACCGACAGGTGGCGCCGTGTGTTACCATAATCACTCATGTTTTAATGCGACACCGTGCACCTTCGTCTCATATAGACTACGCTGCCGGTCAAAAGTTTTAGAGCAACTCAGTTTTTCCAAATATTAGTGTAGGCCTAATTCAACAGCCGAACACACTTGTGGCATTCTTCCCACAAATTAAATAAATATTGTTCGGATAGATAGCATTGTTGTCACAAATGTGTTGCACTTTTAGGTTTTTTGCTTTCCATTCTTCACCTGGAAAGTCTGGACGGTGCTCCGGCCACTCCCTCATTTGAAGCCCATCCTCTTGTTCTTGGTTATTCCTGGCCTAATTTAGGCTACTTCCACTAGAAATGATAACCAACTGATCCCTTAAAAGGGCCTGTTTTACATATAAATTGCATTCATTTTTAGTTTTGGGTGACTTTATAAAGGAAGATTTAGGCCTTATTATTGTAGAGGAAAAACCCAACAAATCCCCCTTGGCAATAGTGGGGAAGAAAAATTCCTTATAATGGAAGAAACCTCCAACAGACCCTGGCTCTTGGTGGGCAGCCTTCTACCTTGACTGTTTGGGGTGAGTGGATAGAGGAGAGAGAAAGGAATGGAAAAGCAACAAGATACAACAACAAATAAATGCCCTGGCAGGTTGATGTGGCCAGTGACTGCTCATCAGAAACGTACAGCTCCACAGCCAGAGGATACCTGCAGAGAGGTACAGGGCTGCAGCACTATCAACAAGATTATCAACTTGTGTGGGACTAAAGTTAAGAGGGCAGTTTACTTCTTGTGCCATTTAAGATTATTCAGTGGACTTGAACTGCATATAACGGGTGGCCCACGGAAAAGTAGCCCAGAGCAAGTGGATTGTTTTGGAGGGAGGGAGGTAGGTAGGTAGATAGGTAGGACTATATTGATCCCTCAGTGGGGAAATTCCAGTGTTCCAGCAGCAGTAAAGGACAAAACAACATGACACCATAAGAATAAACACCCCACACATATCTTGAGAAAACAAGATCCAGGTACCCGAGGCTACTTTTCCATGGCCCACCCTGTACAAGTGAATAAAACCGGAAAAATCTACAGTCTATCACATCGGGTTCACAATACTCTAATTTTGCACAAAATACAAGCATTTAAATGGTATTACTGTGACAAACATGTTATATTACAAAGCTGACAGTAAAATAATGTGGCTGGCATGTGCAGCCTAATGAATCAGGTAATGAACAGTGTTGAATTAAGACTTAGAAAAATTAACTCATACTCTTAAATGGAACAAGATATGAGCAAGTCTGATGTTTCTTAAAGGAATTAATTTGGTTTTGGTTTGGTATTTCAGCCAAAACACCTATACTTAATACAGTAGCTGTATGTGAATTTACAGTAATCACATCTGTCCTATGATATCACCATAAAATTCACTTATTCCTATACCCATACTACAATTAATTATAGGATATAGCTATTTGCTTTGTCATATGTGCATTATTTTTATGACAAATTTGGTATAGTAGACTATGGTGTAGCCTATTTCCACTTTTTATTTGTTAAAAATACTATATAAATGTTCAGTGGGAGTTATTTCAAATTTTACTCCATTACATTTGTTTTGAGGTACTAGTTGCTTTAACATTGTATAATATATAATATAGGTTTGTTGGGTTATTTTTTAGTTAGATAGATATTCAGAGATTTGTTGTCTATGAATGTTTAGTGCAGACAGGGTGACTGGCTTAGGCTGTTAACTATTCAGCCTGCGGTGCAGACTGCAGGCACGTCAAGGTTACAGGAAAACTGCTGTTAGTGTCAACTGTAATGCTAGTCTTAATATTTGTCTTAATGTGTAAGGTTATGTCCAATTGTTTTAGATACACACCACGAAAACAACAGTCACGCACCTTGACTTTTCCTCATGTTTTGGCTAAACGTTATAGCAGCTGCAAGGCTTGCTTATCGGGTGACGTCACGGTTCGACAGCCCAGAAAGGATTAATATTGTATAGCAATGCTTGGTTCGGGGCTTCCTGTTTCCGGGCTGCTTTTGGCAGGCTGGGGGTTGGAAGATCTCTGGACTTGAAGTGTTAATTCTTGCCTGTGACTTTTTGAATAAACCAGCACGGATATATTTTTTATATACTCAAGTGGTCTGAGTCGTCCCTCTGAGTTCCTGGTTTGAAAGAACCGGATGAGGCTTTATAATGGTTTTCAGCCTATAGGTTATAAGTGCAAAACATGACAAGCCATTGAAATATGAATGCATAGGCCTGTGTCTATCTGTTCACGATAGCCTTAAGTAAATAAAACTGCATTTTTCTGAACTAACTACAAATAAAGTAGTTAAAATGTTGCTCTCATGTTTATCCCTGACTAATACTAATCATCCCAATATACGCAGTAGCCTTTTGTTGGCCTAATAATCGTGTCTAACTGGTCTCCTGTATTTGTCCAAACCACAGTCTGTGGTCTAAACTGGTCTCCACCCTGTGTTTTACTACGTCAGAGCAGGAGATTTCTTCTTCTCCTATGATGTCTATTGGCGGTTTGCAAGCCAACTTAAGGTGCATTACCGCCACCTGCTGGGTTGGAGTGTGGAACGACCATGCAGCCCAGAGCAGGAGATGCGTGAGAGGCGGGTTTAAGAAAAGGGCTGTCCTAAATCTGAGATCCATCACTTCACAAAGGCATCAACCATCCAGCTCAAGTTGTCCACTTAATAGCAACCGGGAGATAACCACCCCGCAAGATGGCCCCAATCTCCATCAAGACTGTTTTAATCAGTGAAAGTGTTGACCGTCGCTGCAGAGCAATTTTGGAGGAAAATGGCATCCGGGTCACTGAAAAGCAGAATATGAAAAAGGATGAACTAATCGCTGAGCTCAAGGTAGGGGGTTCCTCTTTTTCTTGCGTTAATTGTTCACACATGCATCGGCTGTTGTTGTTTGTCTACGCAGCATGCAGCCGTTTTCTAATCGCGTCATTTTGTCGCCTTAGCATCATCTTACAGGCGTTTGGTTTACACCTGCAGTTGTCTTGAGAAAATGTTTTTAAAAAGCATAAACCAAGTAAGTTCGTTATGCAAAGTTTAACAAAATATGTCTTCTCTCTCTATTTTCTGTGTCTATGTTATGTTGTCACCGAGACTGACATGCATTTAGCAGAGATGTGAGAACTGATTTTAGCTTATAGTACCGCCCATTAGAAGCTGATGCAACTCATCCACGACTTTGCTAGTTTTATGGTAGAGCCTGTGCATGTGGCAGAAACAAATATTTACTTTGTGCAAATTAGGCTAGATTAGCAACAACATGCTGCCCTGGAACAGCTCCCATGCAAACTAAATGGACTGCAGTGTTTTGCAGTAGGTTCTGTGCTGGACTGTGCAACTATTGGGCCCTAGATAACAAATGAGCTGTGGGTCCCTTTTAACCGCCATCCCTCCTCTGGTTACCTTCAGTCCATCAATGCTGAGTCACCAAAGAGTGTTTGCACCTGCTCCATTTTTGCGGCATGCCAGTTGTGGTGTTTTCATAAAGATTTGGAGATGATAGTTCATGCTTTTATTGTCTCTCACCTTGAACTCTCTCTGTAAGAAACAGCCATCCCTATTTTACCAGAAGCTGGTTCAGAATGTAGCAGCTAGAATCCCTATGGTACAGAGAGAGAGAGAGAGAGAGGCCTTACACAGTATACTGGCTTCCATTTGCTGGTTACCACAGAAGTATAGAGTTCATTTTAAGACATTTTCAAAATCTGTTTTTAAAGAGCTGCATGGACTGGCACCAGGTTACACCTCTGAACCCCTCACAGCCTATTCCACTTCCAGACCCTTCACACCTCATCCAATCACTGCTCTCTTTTCCACACACCCAGTTAAATGAAACGATGATCAAGCCTTTTCCATTGTTCACCCTAAATTGTGGAATCATTTGCCACTAATGTTTCCCCTTCCAAAATATCATTTTAATCCATTTCCTGGATAAAACAGTTTCTTTTTGGTTAAGCAAAGAAAGAAATGACATCATCTGTTGCTTTTTTGGCGAACATTGAGCATAAATGTATTATTGAACCCTATTATATTATTATTGAATGTATTATTGGAAATTAAGTGAAATTGATATTGAAATTGTTTAAATCATTCATAAAGTCAAACCACACAAAGCCCCAGTGATGATGTCCTTTCCCATTGCCATGTTTGATATATGAGAAGAAAAGGCATAGTTGACAAACTAAATAAAGTTATATTTTCCCTGGACAGTACAAGATTACTTTTGGTTCAGTATCTTTAGAAGAGTCTATGAGGATTCGGGGAATACTTTTGGAATTTGGGTGAGTGTTGTGAAATGATGGTACAGCGTTAAAACGGTCGACAAGCCTCTCAATTTCGCAGGTTAACGAAAGATTATCTGTGACTGGAGTGTGTGTTATACAAAAGAGTCACAAGCTGGGGCTAGGTGTGCACCAGGGTTGGATTGATGGCTTTCTCACCAGCCCAAACAGAAAAGGCAAACATAGAAACTGTTTCAATCCAACCAAATGGACCCAAAAGGAGTATAAACAAATTTATTTAGAACTATATACTCTTAATATCAGCTGGAGGAGTTTAAGATATTAAAACTGCATTTTTGACACAGTACTCCTCAAAAACCTTGCATTGATCAAAGTACCACAAAGTAATTGGCACACAGTGAATCTGTGGATTTAGGGGCCCCTGAAGAATTGGGACCACAGAGCAGCTTGCTGCTTTTTTGTGGTTGCTGCTCAAGCACTATTAGCTGAAACACAGAGATCAACTTTGTGCTTTTCACATCATTCTAGGATTATGACGGGCTGGTGGTTAGATCCGCAACCAAGGTAACAGCTGATGTTATCAACGCTGCCAATAATCTCAAAATCATTGGGAGAGCTGGGACCGGAGTGGACAATGTGGACGTCGATGCTGCCACCAGAAAGGGTGTTATTGTCATGAAGTACGTCTTCAGTTTATGCTGAAATGTTGTTCTCTGTGCAGTTCGATGTAATCTACTGTCCATTAACTGTCAGCCGTTTCCTCCAGCACACCAAGTGGTAACACGATCAGTGCCGCTGAGCTGACATGTACCCTGCTGATGAGCCTTTCAAGGCAAGACGATTCATGTTTTCATGAGCTATTGTCAACAGTCTTTTCAGTTGCACGCAGGTACTGTAAAATTACATAAAATCTGTTTTCAGAAATGTGCCTCAGGCTGCAATGTCGATGAAACAAGGGAAGTGGGATCGTAAAAAGGTTAGAGATTTAGTTTTGCCCCTGTGTGCTGTTTGATTGACTGTGTTTGCATTTGGCATATGACACCTTTTACTGTTGCATGGCTGGTTCTGTTGTTCATCCAGTCAGCAGTAATCTGATGTGACACCTGGATCTGTACAGTTTGGGATTGGATGTAGACGGGATTGTTTATTGTTGCCAGTAACTATTTTTGTAGACAGGATCACCCCTTTGTTTCTTATTTTCTAGTTCATGGGTACAGAGCTGTATGGAAAAGTGCTTGGAATAGTTGGACTTGGAAGAATAGGAAAAGAAGTTGCCTCAAGAATGCAGTCATTTGGCATGAAGGTAAATAACGAGGCTACAACGTGGCCAGACTGATAGTGGTTAGTTGTATTACAACATGTAGATGAAGCAAACATGTTGATCTTTTTATTTGTTTTTGTCAGACTATCGGCTATGATCCGGTCACTCCACCTGAGGTGTCAGCCAGCTGGGGGGTGGAGCAGATGACACTGGAGCAGCTTTGGCCCCAGTGTGACTATATTACTGTCCACACTCCGCTCATGCCCTCCACTGTTGGTGAGTTTTACTGAGGTTCTCCTCATTAACAGCATAACTAAGATTTGGGTTAATGACATCTGATGGAACAAATTAAACTTGCAACTTGTTGGTGTTTTTGTGCCCAAGGTCTTCTTAATGATGAAACATTTGCTAAATGCAAGAAAGGAGTGAAGGTCGTAAACTGTGCACGTGGGGGCATCATCGATGAGGCTGCTCTCCTTAGAGCTTTGGAGTCCGGACAGTGTGGAGGGGCAGGACTTGACGTCTTTGTTGAGGCAAGATCACAACCTCCAAATCTCCTACTGTCGCTCAGCAGTAGCAGTAACAGTTTACGATGACACATTTGCTTTCACAAATCAAATTGTGTCCTTTATTTGCTCTTGAATGTTAATGGAGATGCTGTAGTTTACGTCTTACCCTGCATTGGCCACAGGAACCACCTAGGGACCGCTCACTGGTGGAGCATCCCCATGTCATCAGCTGTCCTCACCTTGGAGCCAGCACCGAGGAGGCTCAGGCACGCTGCGGGGAGGACATCGCCCTGCAGATTGTCAATATGGTGAAGGGCAAGAACCTAGCTGGAGCGGTGAGTGGTACTCAGTGTTTGCATGTTTTTTTTTTTTAAACATGTGGGAGCAAAACATGTTAAATGGATACGCTAGTGATTTTTTTTTTTCATTATTGCAGTTCTACAAAAAGTTGGACATTATGAGAGATGAACAAAACAAAGTGTAGCAGATTCTGAGATATCCTGATGTCTAGTTCCTAAAATGGGTAAAGTTTCAAAAATAATGATTCGGGACTTAAAATAATTAAATTTGAAAGGTTCTTAACAGCTATGCCCATGTCCTTTTTCAACTTAAAGCATGACCAACACCCCCGCTAGCATCCCCATCCACCACATAATCAACACTCCCATAATGCAGATGTTCTGTCAAAAATGCATCTCCAAGCACAAGCTGATGACCTGAGGGTTAATAGTACTGTGTAGTCCTCCTTATGGCAACTAAATTCTTCATGTGTGAAACTGCATGAGAGCTTGATATTCTACACTTACAATTCAGCACAAAAAGCATAAACTACATGCAGCTTTATGCTTTTACTTTGTGACAATTTTATATTTTGAAATTAGCTTTTGACATTAAAAAAGGTTGTATGATACTGGAAAAAATTGTTTTTTTTCTTGATTTAATTTTTAATTTGATAAAAGAAAAATAGAATTTATGCCCATGACATTTCAGTCACCCCAGAAGAACTGAAGTTAATGGAAAAATGAAACTACTCTTTACACAAATACTAATACCATTTCAGTATTGGCAGCCACCTACGGTAACTTTCCAGAAATTCTTTGTCTTCCTCTGCCAAACCCAATTTGCAGCTCTTCCCATTGCAAAATAGTCACTACTCACTGACACATTGTTATATTTTGGAATTTTTGAGTCAGTAATCATATTTACTTCACAAACACACTTAGTCTTTTCACACTTGTCTTCTCCTTTCTAGGTAAACGCACAGGTTTTGGCCAGCACGTTCTCCAAGGAATCTCACCAGCTAATCAAACTAGGAGAAGCCATTGGAGTCGTGCTGCAGTCATGCACTTCTTCTAAGAAACCATTCAGCCAAGTCCAAGTTACCACTCAAGGTAAAGCTACTGGTCTAAGCGGTTTAGCTAGTGACCTCAGTGGCTCTTATAGTGACCTCCAGATACAGGAAGGTAGTACTGCAATCCCTCTAGTGGTGTGATTGCTAAACACACTTTATTTACAGGCAAGGTTGCTGTACTGTATTTATGATAAGCTATTGTAGTAAAATATGAAGACATACATTTTTCTGTTTGTCTTAACAGTTTCTTCTAAAACTCGGTTTTTGCTGTGAAGTATTTCACTTGCTATTGGTGCAAGGTAACACTTTATAATTTGTTTCCTATAATTCAGGTGATTGCATGAAATCCTCCACTGGGTTCATGACTTCAGCAGTACTGGTTGGATTGCTGAATCATGATTCTGGCTGTTGCCCAAACCTTGTCAACGTACTGAGCCTAGCCACAGAGTCTGGAATCGTGGTACAACATCAACTCATTCTGGCAAATACCACATGACAATATGACAATAAAGGGTGTGCCTTTAAAAAAATAATATACACTCTATAAACTGGTTCTTCAGGTAAACCAGGGCCACTGTGGGTCTAACGGGGCTCCCGATGGCGTGTGTAGGGTGGAGATCGTGGCCAACGGCAGCAGCTTCAAAGCAAGTGGTTCTCTTCAAGGTGAAGTGCCAGTCTTGCTGGAGCTGAGTGACAGTGTGTTTAGACAGCCGGTCTCTCTCACTGGGAATCTGCTGTTCTTCAAAGCCTCTGCTAGTCCTCAGCTCCTGTCCTCAGTGGCTGGTAAGAAACTTAAAATTAAAATCAGCCCTATAAAACTGATGTTTGAAGAATGAGGTCACACCTAAGACTTACAAGCAGTTGCCTCTGGACTGACACCTGTTTGATGGATATTTAAGGAAGACCTCTCTGTTTTTGGTGTATTATGATTTCACCGCCATCAGTCGTCTTGTTAGACCTTTTCAGAATTATCAGATTAATATAATGATGCTCCCTCAGAAATGATATTCTGCATTTGTCTTTGTTATATGACTTGATGAAGCTTTTATTAATGTGTCAGACATAATGGAAAATATGTATTTCTCTAACTTTAAAGCCACTAAACAGGAGAACTGGGAATCTTTGAGGCAGATAGTGTTTGAAGCCTTTTGTCAAAATAAAGCATATATTGCTGCCAACAAAACCAAAAGTTTTTCACTGTAGTTAATTTATTTATTTTGCACAGCAGTTTTTGAGGACTTCACATTTGGATGAGAAGTTGTACTCAGGATTTCTAAAGACTAAATAACTGTGCACACTGAGGGGTTTTTGAATTCACACCTATTTTCTCTTTTCAATTGTTCCTTGTTTAGGTGTGCTGGCCACAGAGGGAGTGGAGATTGAGTCTTTCAGTGCTCCCACAGACCACACTGGGGATCTGTGGTATTGTGTGGGAGTGTCCTCCCTCCTGCAAGACCTCAGCGCATTGAGGCCTTTAGTTAAGGAGGCAGCACAAGTCACCATGTAAATGACAGCAGCCACACCTTAGAACAGTGCTGGGGCAATATTTGGTATCTGAAAATGTGAAGATTCTCCCAGCACTGTCTAATACGATGGGTCCGTCTTGGTTTCATTGTTTACAACTAACAACTTGTTTAGAAGTTGAACCCTAAAAACTTGTATTTTAATATCATCCCAGTGTTTAGATTAAGAGCACTTTGTTGAAGTAAAACTGAATTAAATGTTTTCGTGTTGTGTGCTGTTCACTTTGTTGTCCGGCCCTTTGCAACAGAGATGTAAGCTAAAATGCACTATTAAAAACTGAATACAGTTTATTGCTACTAACAGCTGTGTGTTTTATTCAGCAAGACTTCACAGAACAGGCACACCTGTACAGTATAATGGAATCCATCCGTTATCTCTACGGCTTATTCCTGAATATGGTTGCGGGACATTGTTCGGTTTTGTTACCACTGTGTCACAGAAAACTTGGCTATTCTGTGGTTGTTTTTAAGCTGTACTTGTTTTAAGTTTTGGATCGCATTACATTGTACATCTCTACATAATTAACCAGTAGTAGGTTTTGTAGATTTTTCATGCAAAACCAGCTCATGAAATATTGTTGGCATTAAAAAAATAAAGTCTAATTTTGACTTAGAAGATTTGCAGTACCTTTTGATTTGAGCATTTGAATATTTTCTACCATTCTTTATGCATTTGGTTGGTAAGTAAGTATAAGACCATTTGTTTTTACTCTGCTTGAATTTTATATAAATATTCTCTAGAATAAAAAATCCCAAGTAAAATATGGAAGTTTTGGCAGCAAAGTGCACTGAAGTATCAATAGTAAAAGTATTTACTGTAATGAAAAATGTCCTCTGAGATTATTATATTTATTTATATTACACTATTATATAAGTAATACTGATGCATCAGTGTGTGAGCAGCACTGTACTATTGCAGCTGTAAGGTGGAATTTTATCGACTTTATTTACAGTGATGGTTCTCAGCAGGCCCAGCCCAGAAGGATGCAATAAAAATCTGGGAGTCCTGATATGATGTAGTAAAGACAGAAAATTGTTCTCCACAAATTTGCATGAATGTTCTACCTGCACCTCTACTTATTTAAATGAAACTTGGTGCAGGCTTACAGCTTGAGGGAAAACGTCTCTTTGGTGGAACTGGGTTTTTGGGATTCTGCCATTTTTGTAAGTGGTCACAACCCACAAAGGCTGGCCTGAGAACCACTGGGCTCATCTTTTAAAAAGTGTTCATGTTTTTGTTTGTAAACTATAAATCTGAAAAGTTACTCGGTAAAGGTTCAATATTACCCTAGAGATTGTAGAGGAGCAGAACTAAACTGTAGCAGTAAATAGAAGTACATCCATCTCGGTGTAAACCAGCTTCTGTAGTCATATGTCTTGTACAGGAGAGAATATTGTGTACATCTGATAATCCTTGTTAGGATTAGGTAAAGCCTGAGAGGGGCATGGGTTCACCGTGCCATGGCAACCACAAGAATGGGGGGAAACATGAATAGTGAACCGTGCAGTGGCTTCTTGCTGTGTTGTATTGAAGGCGATGCTTATTTGTATAAGATTTTGTCATGTGTAAGTGACGCTTCTCTGCCTGTTGGGTTCACTAATGCGCTGTCCATGAGCGCATCACGAGTGGATGGAGGTTAAATTTAGACTCTGGGAGAAAATAGCGGTGTTGGGTGATTCCTCTGAATGGTTGCTTGTTTTTATCAAGGACCTGCTGGTGGAGACTTGAGCGTGCTGTGTGGGAGAGGAGGAGGGGGGGATGGCCGCTGCATACAAATAGCCTACCAAAATAGGATAGAGCCTGCGACCGTCCTGCAGGAGCTAAATTGAGGTGCGTGTGTTGCGTTCAAACAGAGGACACAGACGAGTACCGGCATTCATTCATGGAAATGGGATGAGAGGTAAGCCTGTATCTCTATTTGAATATAGTATTTTGTCTATGAATTTAAAGGTAAATAAATAAAGGGACAATTAACACCACAATTAATTATAAATAGGGGCGTGACACCACAATTTTGCTGTTTCTGCTGCAGTGCATATGATTTTGTGCAGTGTATTTGGAGCACTGACATGTTTTCATGTGTTTTCCCAGATACAATGTCACATAAACAAAGCGAAATGTACACATACGACTTCTGTGATGCTGACCATCCAGCAGAGCTCCTGGATGCTCTTAGGCAGTTCTATATCAGTGGCCTGTTTACAGACGTTGCTCTACAGTGTGGCGAGTCCGGACAGGTGTTTCACTGCCACAGGGCGCTACTGTCAGCCCGGAGCTCCTATTTCAAAGTCATGTTTACGGCCGATATGAGGGAGAGGTCAAACAGCGTCATCAAACTGACCGGGGTTGACTGCGGGGTCCTGGGTGCGCTGGTGAACTACGTGTATACAGCACAGGTGTGCATCACTGAGAGCAACGTGCAGAGCCTGCTGGAGGCTGCAGACCTTCTGCAGTTCATTTCTGTCAAACAAGCGTGCGAAGAGTTTCTTATTCGCCTGCTGGATGTGGACAACTGTTTGGGCATGCACGCTTTTGCTCAACTGCACCTGTGTCCCGGTCTGGAGAGGGAGGCTCGCAGACTGATGCTGAGCA